GGAGCCCGATGTGGGACTCGATCCCAGGACCCTGGGATCATGACCTGAGCCGAAGGCAGACGCTTAACGACTGAGCCACCCAGGCGCCCTCAAACCTTATCTTCTATTTCCTTGACTACATTCAGCAGATTTATCTTGAAGTCTGTATCTGGTAATTCCATCTTCTAGATCTCCTACGGGTCTGTTTTTATTGTCTGTGTCTCTTGGGTGTTTTTTTTTTTTTAAGATTTATTTATTTATTAGAGAGAGAGAGTGTGCGAGCAAGCTCGGTGAAGAGCAGAGAGAGAGGAAGAGAGAATCCACAAGCAGAGTCCCTGCTGAGTGCGGAGCCTGACATAGGGCTCAATCTCCCGACCCCGAGATCATGACCTGAGCAGAAACCAAGAGTCAGCTACTCAACCAACTGAGCCATCCAGGTGCCCCTTTGTCTCTTGGGTTTTAATCATATTGTCGTGTACCTGATTTTTCTAAAAATCACGGTGTTTAAATTTTTTCTTTAAAAATCTATTTTTAACAGGCTTTACTGGGGTATAATTGACATGCAGTATACTACACATGTTTCAAATATATAATTTATACATTCTGACATATATATTTACCTGTGAAGCCATCTCCACAGTCAGGATGATGCATCCACCGTGCCCAGGTTCCCTTCTTCCCACCTCTCTCCTCCTCCCTGCCAGACAGCCCATGATCTGCTTTCTGTCACCACAGATTAGTCTTCATTTTCTATAATTTTATATAAATGGACTCATGGTATATACTTATTTTTTTTGTCTGGATTTTCTCAGAGTATAATTATTTCAAGATTCCTCCATGTCATTGCACATATCAATTGTTGATTCCTTTTTATGGCTGAATAGTTACTCCATTGCATGGAATTCCATTGTATTCCACCACACCTGTTATCTGTTCACCTGTTAGTGGACATTGGGGTTGTTACCAGTTATTTGGCCGTTACAAATAAAGCTGTTATGAACATTCATGTACAAACATTTGTACAGACATATGCTTTCATTTCTCTTGGGTAAATACCTAGGCATGGAATGACTGGATCATATGGTAGAACTAGGTTTAACATTTTAGGAAAAGTGGTCGTACTATTTTACGATTCTACCAGTGATGTATGAGAGTTCCAGTTCCATTACAAAGTCATCAATACTTGCATGGTCCGTCTTTTCGACTTGAGCCATCCTACAAATGTGCAATGGTATCTTAGGGTTTCAACTTGTAGTTCCCTATGACTAATGATGGCAAAGATATTTTTGTGTGCTTATTTGTCTTCTCAATATCTTTTTTGGGGTAAAGTGTCTTTTCAAAATGTTTGCCCATTTAAAGAATTGGGTTGTTTGTTTTCTTATTATTGAGTTGTTAGAGTTTTGTACACATTCTGAATATCAGCCTTATATCAAATATATGCTTGGCAAATATTTTGTCTCTGTGGCTCGTCTTTCTCTCAGTAGCATTGTTCAAAGAGCAAAGTTCTTCATTTTAATGAAGTCCGGTGTTTTATGGATTATGCTTCTGGTGTCGTATCTAAGAAATCTTTGTCTGACCCAAGGTCACTAAGGATTTTTCTCCTGTGCTTTCTTCTGTAAGTTTTATAGTATTACATTTAAATCTATGGTCCATTTTGAATTAACTTTTATATATGATATGAAGTACAGATTGAAGTTGTAATTCTTTCCCTTTCTTGCATGTGGATATGCAACGTTCCGTGGCTGTCTGTTGAAAAAACTGTCCTTTCTCCACCGAAATGTCTTTGCACCTTTGTCAAAAATCAATTGACCATGCGTGTGTGGGTCTATTTCTGGACTCTGTTCTAGTGCATTGATCTTTCTGGATGCCAATAGCACACCGCCTTGATTACTGTAGTTTTACCATAAGTCTTGAAATCAGGTAATATAAATCTGTCTGCTTTCTTCTTTTTCAAAGTTGTTTCTTCTAAGCCTGCTGGGATTTTGATTGGGATTTCATTGTTTTTTGTTTTGTTTTGGAGTTCTGGAAAATGAATATAAAAAATTGTAAAAATAGTTTGGGGATGATGCCATCTTCTTCCAGAGAGGATTTTACTTTTACTCTTAGCTTGTGGTTGGGGCTCCAGCAATCTTGGATTACCTTAATCAATGATAAGATTTGAGACCATTTAAAATGGATTCAGCCCCTGGGGCGACTGGGTGGCTCCATCAGTCAAGCATTTGTCTCTTGGTTTTGGCTCAGGTCCTGTTCTCAGGGTCCTGGGATCCAGCCCCGTGTCAGGCTCTGTGCTCAGTGCAGAGTCTGCTTGAGATTCTCTCTCCCTCTGCCCCTCCTGCTTGTGCTCTCACTCACTCTCTCTCTAAAATAAATAGATAAAACTTAAAAAAAAGACACCCCCTCCCCCACACACAAAAACACGGACTCAGCCTCTGCAGGGGCTTCTCTAGGTCTGGCCCACCCTTTTTCTTCCAGCATGTAATTCCTCAGAGTTCTAACCCCCAGTGTGGAGTTTCTATCAGGGTCCCCCCCTTGGCAGACCCTGAACTCTCACTTGTCCTCTGGCTGTACAAGGCGACCAGAAGCTCTGCTCAGTTTCCTTGATGCTGACCCTGGAATCGGCAGGTGCCCCCGGGGGGAACACTGACCCCAGCACTGGCCTCCACGATCTCCTTCCCTTCTTCCAGATCTTGGCCTTCTAATTCTGCATGCTTTGTTAGATTTTCACTACCTTCACAGAAATTTTTATATTTCCCTGTCTTTCCTGGTTGTTCTCAGAGGCAGGGCTGATGTGCATTACCCAGGAGACCGTTACCCAAAGAGGAAGGCCTCCTTATGAAAAGTTATACCGTTGGAGTTTCAAAATGTGAACTGTTAATTATTTTGTTGTCCATTGATAATATTCTTCAAGAGCTGTGGTTTACAGACTGAACCTGGGCCAAAGCTCCTTGTTGTCCGACCTCATGGCTAGCCAGCAGAACGTGGAGAACCTGGCTTCTTTTCTTCTGACCTGTTAGCCTGCTGGGGACTAGCCCTCCCTGAAAAAAACCGCTCCCCGCCCCAGCCTTCTCTATGATCTTGAAGTTCCTTTCTTGTCAGCGTATCCCTTCCTCTCTCCTGTGAGTCTCAAAAACCCCCAAGAAGTAGAACCCAGTGGCAGACCCCATGCTTACCCCTAATGAGGTCCTACACTGACCACAGCTCCTGGCTCAGGGCTCTGGCCATGGGGTCAGACGGGTGCCCAGGGGCAGAGCTGTTATCTATTCATCTATGCTCTGTCTCCCATTGTCCCCTTCCCCTGAGGCTGGGCCTGTTTCCAGCTCCCTTGGGCTGGGCAGAAAGCAGAGCCTGGATGTGGGACTGGAGTCTGGAGGGGCTGAGCCTTTGCTAGTTTGGGGGTTTTCGCTCACAGGTGTCCTCCTTAAAGACAAGGGCTCTGTCTTGTCCCAGCTGGGCTCCCAGCAGTGAGCTCAGTGCCAACACACAGCAAGTGCTCAATAAAAATGTGCTACATGGATGGAGGGAAGGGGAGAGAGAGAGAGAAGGGATGAGTGGCTAGATGGAAGGAGGGGATGAATGGACAGATGGATGGAGGGGTGGACACACATATGTATGGAAGGATGGAGGGATGGATGGATGGATGGATGGATGAGATGATCTTGGCCCCCCAGTTCCTCAGGTGGCCTTGGAGATCACCAGCGGTTCAGGGAGGCGGAGCAACTTCATTTGGATGCATTTAAATGTGGGAATGGGGATAGGCATTCTTTGCAAAGAAAACAGTTCCATGGCTAAAAATAGTCTAGTCCAACCTCTGCAAGTCACAGATGAAGAAAATGAGGACCAGAGAGGGGAGGGGCCTTGCCCAGGGTCACACAGCTGGTTGAAGGCCAACCTAAGACCGGCCCCACATTTTCTGACTTCCAGACCAGGGGTGTTTCCACGGACAGCTCTGCCTTCCACAGTTGGGGCGAGGCTCCCATCTGCACCCCCTCCTCTTCCAGGGGAAGGAGAAGTTCCTGGGCGTCCTGAACAAGTACATGGAGATCCACGGCACTGTGTACTATGAGAGCCGGCGGCCCCCTGAGGTCCCAGCCTTCGTGAAGAACCACGGCCTCTTGCCACAGCCCGAGTTCCAGCAGCTGCTACGCAAGGCCAAAGTGAGCCCCACGCCCTCACCGTCCTCACCCCAGTCTGGCCACAGATGCCGAGGAGGTCACCCTACGTGCCCCCAGGCCTGCCACCGTGGCTGGTGGCCCCTTCCACGTGTAGACCTGCCCCAGCACGCTCTGCTACCTTGAACCTCACGTCCAGGCCTCCTGGGGCCGGGGCAGAGCTGGGGGTGCTCACCCAGGAGGGACCTGGGCAGGGCCAGCAATGTGAGGCTCAGCAGTGGGGAAGAGGAAGCGGGCTTCCCTCCTTACCCCTCAGTACCAGGGCAGCTCCGCGGACTGGGTGGTCTTTCCTGCGCCGGCCGCCCCGCCCCCGTGAATGTCCCAGCCCTGGCTTCCTGGGGCTCTGGTGCCCAGCCTTCCATGACCATTGTGCCACTTGCTTCCTCAGCTCTTCATAGGCTTCGGCTTCCCTTACGAGGGCCCCGCGCCCCTGGAGGCCATCGCCAACGGCTGCGTCTTCCTCCAGTCCCGCTTCAGCCCGCCCCACAGCTCGCTCAACCACGAGTTCTTCCGAGGCAAGCCCACCTCCAGAGAGGTGAGTGGGGAGGGTCTGAGATGGGGACCCCTGCAGTCCCTGGAAGAGGGAGACAGACAGGGTGTGAAGGGACGGACAGGACAAGTGGGCGGGGGCGCCTCCCCTGAGCACGGGCCGACCTGGCAGGCACAGGAAGAGGCTGCTGCTCTCTCCACCTGGCCAGGTGTTCTCCCAGCATCCCTACGCAGAGAACTTCATCGGCAAGCCCCACGTGTGGACTGTTGACTACAACAACTCGGAGGAGTTTGAAGCAGCCATCAAGGCCATCATGAGAACCCAGGTGAGGTTCAGATCCAGTCAGGACTCTGGGGGTCACTACTGGAAAAAGATGCCCCTCTTGGTGAACTCAGGCTCGCAGGCCTGGGTTGGCAAACTTGACCCCACTTACCACCTTGAGTATAGGGATGGGGGGAAGGAGAGGCAGGGAAATACCTTTGTGCTATGAGCAACCTGTACAACCTTACATGGCAGCCCTGGATCCAGAATCATTTATTAAGCACCTTTGGAGGCTGAGCCCCATGAGCACTCTTAGCACAAGTTAGGTGCTGAGTAAATGTTTCCAGGATTAGTGCATGGAGGCCCTTGGAACTCTGCTGTTGGTGTGTGTCCATGGCCTTTTGACAGCATATCTCAAACTGTACATGGCATACACGTCATCTGGGGATCTTGTTAAAATGCAGGTTTGGGTGCTCTGTTAAGCGCTGTGAATTGTGCAGGACTGTTGAGTCTCAGATCTGTACCTCTGAGACAAATAATGCAAGATATGTTAAGAAAAAAAAAGAAGAAGAAG